GCACTACTCTTGTATGTGATTAAATGCTCCTCTCACTTCTTAAAACAAGTGTCGACAATTTTGAGATTATATGTAAGAGAAAAGTCAAGAATATATTGTCTTCTATTGTTAAGCTCCCCAAAATCAAAACCACCATGAGCCCCACCAAATTGTCCTGCTTCCTTACCAACATGTCCATTAAGATCCTCACCGATCAAATTTTTTTTCTTCAAGTGGTATGTTTTGAACCAACCCCTCCATATCTTTCAAAAACTTATCTTTAAGATGTGCCTCTGTCACAACCTGAGGTGCATAGGTACTAATAATATTGATAGTATCCTTACCAACAATTATTTTAAAGATATTATTCTGTTCTCAAACCTTTTAACCTCCACCACATTCTTTTTTCATATTCTATCAACGATGATATCAATACCATTCCCTGCACTCATTTTTCTTGTGTAGCAAAGTTTACATCCTCCAAGTTCCATGGCAACTCCTCCTATTTAAATAGAGACAAAAGGTGAACAGTTTTTATTCAGTTGCGTGGTGCATGCCCCTTCAATAATATGCAGCGGACACCTGGAGCTTGGGGATATAATACTGAAAAGGAAGAGAAACATGGAGAAAAGAAAAAACTAAATAAAGAACAGGGAGCAAAATCTCAGTCCCGGCGGCCAATAGTCCTTCTTTCCTACGGCGACCTTAAAAGTGAAACTAAAGTTAAGTAATTTTTTTTAACTTCTGACTTCTGACTTCTAGTTTTTAAATTTGAATTTTCTGAAATTAAATTTTTAATATATTATTTATTCAAACTTTTTTAAAAATTAATTTTTTCAGAAAAGTTTATCCAAATATAAATGACATATTACCCTAATTAACTTTTATCTGTCATAAATAAAGAAGAAATAAAGAGAAGAATCATACAGAGGAAGAGAGGATCAACAAGAGAGAGTATTTCTCATTCCATTCAGATATGTTCAATACATTATACATGGCCTTTACTTATAGATACAGCTTTACACATTTGATAGAATCTACAGATTACATAATAATATGAGATAATTGTGGGATAGAGAGATAATATGAGATATTAGAGATTATAGGAGATATATGGACATCCACGAAGATATTATTATATTCATAACATTATCTTAATTTTGATTTATTAAAATCACATTTATATTAATATTAATCCAAACAAGCCAACTATATGAATATACTAGCATATATCATGGGGAAATTAGAGCTACAGATTATCTTGCATTTGATGTTTGTTTTGTAAGAAAATGTTCCATAATTAATGAGTGATGGTACCCACATTTTCTATGTTGGCATTTTAACAAATTAAAAGGGTTCTTAAGATCACACACCCCATTATTTCAGCGAGAAAGGCATTGGCTAATGGACAGGCTTTCCTTAATAGATAATGTTTTGCTGTTTTTTGTGTTTTTAGTGGTTGGTGTCGTAGTATAGTTTAATTTACTTTCTGGTTCGTGAGTTGTGTGTAGGTTACATTGATTTTTTTTTTGGGAAAGGTTTTGATTTTATTACCTTCAACTTAAAGCGTGTGTTGTACTTTTTTGGTTAAAAAAATTGAATAAAAAAATAATCTATTATTGTTTTAACTTTTCAACTTCATTTAAAATATTCCAGAAAATGAAGCGATAACTTTTTCAATCATTGTGTTTCTGAGTTGAGGATGCATGGTGCATTTCTTATGATAAATTTTGCGGTAATAAATAATAATAGCTACAATATTTTTTAAAAAATTGACTAATACTTTACAGCAGTATTAACGAAGTAAAATAAGAGCTAGCTTGTTTTAAAGAATAGACAGTGGTAGTGGTTCATATATAGAGAATTAAGGGTGACCAAGGGAATAATGTGTAATTTTGATTAGATATTTGTGTGCCCAATAAAATGTAAACTAGAGTTAGGGTTAGAAACAGGTCAAGTCAGGCTTCGTCCTTAATAGGTCAGACCTGTTTAGTTACCCAATAAAATGTAAACTAGAGTTAGAGGTAGAAAAAGGTCAAGTCAGGTTTCGTCCTTAATAGACCAGACCTGTTTAGTAACACACTGGCCTGTAATAGTCTTTTTGTTCTTGCCTAAGTCTGGCTTGTATAAAGGCTTGACCTAGCCTAAACCTGTTAAAAAAAATTTAATTTTAATATTTTCAAAACACATATGCTAATAAAAAAATATAAAATATACATACTACATAATAATTATTTTTTATCATTATCTTATATTTAAATTTTAATGTCATAAGTAGTATTTTAAATCTTAATTACAGTTAATATTATTAAAAACAAGTTATAATTATATATTAAAATTTAAAATAAAACTAGATATAAGTATAAAATAAAAAATAAAAATAAAATTAAAAAACAGGCCAGACTAGACTTGATAGGCCTAATAAGCTTTTCAAAAAGTCTAGTCTTGGCCCATTAGGTTAAATAGGCCATAAAAAAGGTCTGAGTTTTTTTCTGTTTTGAAATAGATCGCCAGGCCTATTTTCACCCCTAATTAGAGCAAAACACAAAAATACGCCATTGTGTAAAGCCACTATCTATGACACTTTAAGGTCTGTTTGGCATGAGACAAATGGTCATTCTTTTTTTTACTTTTTAAACCAGCTTTATTAAAAAAAATTTCTCTTCTCCCTTTCCTTCCATTCTCTTTACACCAAAATAGGGTTAAAGTTGGTTGTTTTTCTTTTGATAAAATTACTAGGAGAAAACGTGTTTAACATAAGGTTATGAAGTAGGAGTCATCATCAATAATCCTCTTGATAATTATAAATTTTTTTAAGCAAAGGATGGCTAAATCCAATACAACAATGCATAGCCAAGTTAAGCTCTTTTGTAACGCATACCAAACAAAAATGTCCAAAAGGAGATTCTCAAAGAACTTTAAAAAAAAAAAAAAAGACATATGGAGCTCTCTAATTAATAGTTGTAAATAATATTCTCTTTGATTGGTAATATAATAGCTAATTTAACTAATTTGAATAAATTAAAAGATTTAAATAAATCAATTAATTATAATAGATATGATATGGTCTCTTTAAAATTTTTTTAACATATATAACACTATATTATATATTAACTTATATAAATTAATTTAGAGCAAATAATAAATAATAGAATTAAAGTCTCACGTGTAAAATCAAGTCACCAAAAAGTTAAATTCAATTCACAAGATAGTATATATTAAAAGACAATATGAATGTGCTAACGACCCCATATCGTTGTCATTAGGAAAAATTGGTTTTTAAGGGAGGCGTGGGGGTAAGACAGTCAAGTTGATTTATTTTCTTTGAGCACATCGGCAGGGCGTAAATGGAACGGCCGGCGTAGAAGTGGCGTTCAAAAAAATTGATGGAGGTGGAATGATCAATGAATTTGATTGGTTTGAGAATGAAATTAGTTGGGTCAACACAACGCTCCTTTCCTCACTCAACTCTTCAAGTCAACAAGTCTTTGTTGTTATCTAACTGGTCTTTGCACGAATTAAACCAGACCAAACTAATTTTAATAGTATTAGTGTCGAGTCTAAAACAATTTACTAAAATAGACCAAACTAAAATTTACCCAAATGGGTCGCAGAAATCTGAAGTGCGGGCCTAGGTTTCTCACTCATGAACATTTGCTGCTACTCACAATTCTTACAATTTTGTCGTGACGATTAAAATATTAAATATGAAATCATTTTTTGCCGTACGTATCACACGACGAAGATATTCATGATTAATTCATCTTGCTCTATCAACCATAATGCTACTTCCAGTACATAATATAATATTTTATTTGATTTTTATTTTGGTTTTAAATATGAGACCCCAATCCACTTTATCTATTATATTTATTATTTTTTTAAGATAATCTTTCTACTAATGATAGTTCTAGTCAATACATTTGATTAGCAATGATATTTAAGAAAGATAACGTCTATTTATTACAAATAACTAACTTAATTTATTTCTTCAATCGTCTCAAATTAGTTAACTAGTTTCATATTGAGGAGTGGAGGTAGAATATTGATTATTACATTACAAGTAGTATACGTAGTGCTATATAGTTGATCACTTTATAGTTTTGCTTTTCACTCAGTGGTATTTCCACTTTAAATAATAAAGAAAAAGAAGGAAAAAAGGCATCCATATTCATTTATTTTTTAAAAGGAAAAAAGATGCAAATGCAAAACACAGATAATTACTTGGAAAGTTCATTTCTTTCTTCCCCTGAACTGGGTCACATATCAGTCAACAAAAGCAGCCCTGCAGGGCCGGGCCGTTTTCCCAGTACTAGAGAAGCATAATCCCATCTGGAATACTAAATTTGAACACTTTCTTAGTAGAGATTTGAATATTAATTTATTGTGTTATAAGAAATTAGCCCTTCCATCCAAAGGCAGGTTATAAGGAGCATGCCTTCTACTATTTATTGCTTATATATACATATATATACACACTATCTTTGGTTCTAAATATAAGAGTTAGTTGACTAATTTAAATAGATTAAAAAAATTAAGTTAGTTATTTGTAATAAATAGGTGTTACATTTCTTAAAATATTCTTGCTAATCAAATATATTAAGTAGAACTACTATTATTAGAAAAACTATCTTAGAAAAAATGCATAAATATGAGAGACAAGTGGATAGAAATCTTATATTTAGAATCAAAATAAAAATCAAACGAAATCTTATATTAAGTACGGGACCACCATTTCAGCTGTTTAACAAGAAAAAGATTTAACAAAAATAAAAAAAAGATGATGTCATACTGTTTTATTCCCCTTCTGATGCAAGAACACTGTCCACTTGGCTTCAACAAGAATGGATCCTCTCAGGTTTAAAGTTTGTGTGAAAGAAACTACAATGAACATATATTAAGGGTGGATTTAATATTTCTAAACAAAATTTAAAATAGATGACGAGAAGAAGGCGCTTAGAGAGAATGAGGAAATAGTGAAAATGCACACTTCAGGTATTTTATTTCAGTACCAAACGCTTAGAGCCCTTAAAACAAACACACGCAAACATCATCCTTCTTTAACTTCACATCTTCATCATTCATTCCTAGCTAACTACACCAACCACAACGATTCAAGCCCAGAATAGAGCTCCCACTAGCTCTCAAACCAAACACATTATTTCGCCAAGCAACATAGACACACACATATACATAACGCCTCTATATAATGTTCTCTGCCTCTCACTCCACACAACAGCGATACATGAAGTACCTCTCCATTGGACCCCACACTCAGCACACACCACCTGCTCTGGAATTCCCCCAGCGGTGCCTGGAAGTATGAGGCGATTACAGTGATGTGGCGACTGAAGCTGCTTCAGATATTCATTCATGGCCGGAATGAATCCATCTCTTGTTGCACTCTCCTTCCAATTCTCGAACTCTTTCAGGCATTTTAGTGCCGTCTCTCCCTTAGCTTTCGCCATTTCATGTGCTCCTCTGCAGAATATGGTCCACCCCTGATCGCTGCCGTCGAAGCTCAGCACCGACATCACTTCACTCATAATCTGGTCGTCCTCCACTTTTTTCCCGTGCTGTAGTTTGAGTATAACATGCTCTCCAATCTCGTCCAGAAGAACCATATGGACGTGACGTTCGGCCAGAAGTAGCTGAACTTTCTGGTGGCAAACGTGTTGATCATTCTCAACATCCTCTCTTTGGCGTTGTTCTTTCCTACATAAACCATCTCCAATGACAGGTTGTTAGCTCTCGCCACACTCATTGTAGTGCTTGTGAATGTTTGAATCCATTCAAGATCTTCACCTCCATACAGGCATATGTATTTGCTCTCTGCGATCTGGTACACATTCAATCACATTAATATCTATACGTCAGTAAAAAGGTTGTTCTTCGAATTCAAGCCATCAGGTGAAGGTGTATGGAGACTTACCCATTCTAGAACTGTAGGATCAATGCCATCAACACAAGCAGCTCAAGGCTCCAGACTTCTGACTTCCACAAGGATTCTTCTTTCTCACGAGTGAAGGGAAAGGCCAGGTTGCCCCAAATCCAGTACATGTGGAGGGCATTGGGAGAGCATAGCCTGCCGTTCGGATCAAGGGCCACTAAGATAGCCCTCTTTATGAAATTCCATACCTCTCTGATATACCTTATCACATATGATTCAATAATCAGGGGGTCCCTCACACTGTACCATGGCATTAATGCTTGCAAATGTTCAAACTTCTGTCGAGCCAAATCATTCCAGGTCGCTCTGTTCCACTACTGGAATCCACACCATTTCGTACTGTGTCTCAACCCTTGCTCTTGCATCTTTATACAAGTTATCAAGTATTATGATCTCTTCTTGTGAGAGATCAAGATCTGATATCAGCAGCAACACATGCTTCCTTCTCAGCACCTCGAGACTAACCTGAAATTCACCAATGAAATGTTTTAGAACAATAATAGCGTTTAAGATGCATATGTAGAATA